GAGGAACAGGAAACCCCAGGAGTCACCAGAGCATTGACAGTATCCAATACAAGGGGGAATGGAGAAAGAGCCTGCCCCTTCACTTCACTTCCGCCCTGGCTAGCTGGCTTGAGCTAGTTAGCCAAGGCAAAAGGGAAAGAAGTGTGCATGCCTGCCCCCCTCCCTTCCCTTTTGTCTTGGAACCAGCCAGTGTCTTTCTTCTCTGAAGAAGCTTTCCTCCTTGGGCTCCTTGCAAGGGGAAAGCTGAGTAGTTTCTGGGAAAAGGTGGGTATGGCAAATATTTTGGTGCCCAAAAGGGGCAGGAGCAAGGGAAGGGGAAGGTTAGGGTCCCTTTGCTCTGTTCCAGGGTGAGGCAAAGCTGGAGGAGCCATGTTAGATCTCTTGCCTCTCAGTTTGGACAGACACAGCTTGTTTCCCATACAACTTGTTTCCCTCACAGCTCTCAATTCAGCCTCCCTTTGTCCTGTCCCAGAATGGTGTACAAAAGAGGTTTCTTGAAACTAGGGTTGCCATAATTCTCTTCTGTAATTCTATGAAAGCTTACAACTTTTTTAACATACATAGGGCCACTGCAGATCGGCCATGCCAGCTGCCCCAATCCCAGCCTGATAACGTCCTGACGCCGCACGGTGTTACACATGGTGTGCGGCATCAGGACGTCCTTCCGGTGCAGCATTTTTATGCGCCGCACCAGAAGGGGCGCTAAAGAGCCACACACCGGCTCTTAGGACACCCTTTTGCCGCCTTGAAAGGAGCAGCAAAAGGGAAGATCAAGGCCATGACGCGCAGTTTCCACAGCCTCGATCCGCAACTAGCAGGGGCGGCCCAGAGCCACCCATCTGCATAGCCTCTTAGTCTCAAAGCTGCTACAAGATTCCTTAGCATACTGATATTTCAGACTAATGACTTTTTGTTGAATCTGCACTGCAGAATTAATGCAGTTTGACACTGCTTTAACTGCCATGGCTCAGTGCTTCAGAATTCTGGGGTTTGTAGTTTGTTGTCACACCAGAGCTCCCTGAGAGAGACTACACAGCTCACAAAACTACAAACCCAGATTCCCATAGAATTGAATCATGGCAGTATTGAACTTCAGTGCTGAACTGCAAATTAAACCTGAATTCTAGCCACTTGGAAGAGAACATAACAAAGGTGGTTTTCCCCTCCTCCCAATTCTGTGAGGGGAAGGCAGGGAGAAAAGCTCCCAAACAGCTATGAGACTAAGAGGGACTGCCACCCTAGGAATCATATCCAGGGATTGTCGTGCTGGCCAGCCCATACAGCAAAGCACAATAACATCCAAAATCCACAAAACAGTGATATCTTTATTGGTCAACCAAAATGGATCAAGGCGGGGAACAACAACAAATCAACAATGAAAAACATCAATGAATAAACATTAAAACATGCAACAGTTTAAAAGGACAAATAAGACATACATACAGTTGCCCCTCCCAATTCACAGGGGAATCTGTTCCAGACACACACACACACAAAAATGGCAATTCACAGATATTCGAGTCCCATAGGAAATAATGGTGCGCATGGCTATTTTGTTTATAGCCACTTGTTCCTCCTGCAAAGAGTGAGACTCTGGATTCCAAGTTTGCAAAAAGGGAGGGACAAGTGTATTTTAAAACAATCCACATTTAAAATTCAGCATCTAAATTCACAATTTAAAAATCGTCTGGATAAGCCTGCCAGAAGAGCAGGTCTGCAATGCTGTTTTAAATTTGGACAGCATATTCAGCTGTCGAATCTCTTCTGGCAGGTCATTCCACAGTCCAGGGATGGCTGAAGAAAAAGTCCTCTGGCTGACAGTTGTCAACCTAGTCCTGGCTGTCTGGAATACATGTCCTCCAGAAGACCTGAGCATACAGGGCAGATTATAATAGGAGGAGGCAATCCTTAGGTAGCTGGACTCAAACTATGTAGGCCTTTGTACTTGACTTACTTCCCTTTTTCCCATGACTAGGATTCGAAGCAGCTCACAACAACAACAACTTGAAATACCAATGAAAACAGCTAAACATAGATACAGGTAAAATAGCTGCACGGTGTCTTCCCGTTGCTAGCATGAGGAACACAGCTGAGAGGTCCCAGCACTATCAGTCAAAAGACATTGTTTTGTGCAGCTACTTTGGTTTAGTTTGGTTTGGTATGGCATTTTACCCTCAGCGGATTATTCTGTAACAAGGAAAAAGCATAAGCAATGTGTGGTGGAGAATAGAAAAACTGCAAGTGGAAGATGTCTGGAACCCCTATAAAAATCTATAAAGGAACCAGGACATTTACATACATTTAAAAAAAATCATGAAGCACCTAGCCAGCTTACATCTGGTAAATATTCATGTAAGTCACAAGTCTTTGGGGCTGGATTGTACACATGATCTATCAGCCACTCCTACCCTAAGCAAAGTATCCCCCCCATGCAGTTTACCCTTTATTTCTGTACAGAAGCATCTGTGGGGAATGTAGCTCTGTTACTCTGTTGGCAGAAAATACAAGTAAAAGTTTTTTGGCTTCTTAAGGATAAACAAATTTTGTTTGGTATAGAACAACAACAACAGAAATTCTTGAGGCACCTTAAAGGCTAACACATTTTACTTGGCGTAAGCTTCCAAGGGCTCAGGCAACAGTCCATGAAATCTTATGCCAAATAAAATTTGCCTATCCTTAAAATGCCACAAGACTTTCACCTGTATTTACTGTCAACAAAGTAACAAGACTACACTTCTGGAATGTGGAAGACACTCTTGCGTAGGCTTGCATGGTAAATTACGCAGGGTGTATTTATTAGTTAGGGTAGGCACAGCTGTTAGTTCATGTGTACAGTACAGCCCAAAAATTCTGTACCTTGCCAGAGAATCCACTAAATATCATTTCAGGTGTGGGGAAATGTTTGAGTGCCTTTTCACATGTTATGGGAGAAAATGTGCTTAAAAGAGCTGTGGTAGAAGAAGACCATGCTTACAGAGCATTCCTTTTTTATCTACTCAGAAGTAAGTCCTATTACGTTCAATAGGACATACTCCCAGATAAATGCATATAGGATTGCAGACTTCAGTGTATGTAATTCAATCATCTTCCTTTGTTGTTGACTTTGAAACCATTATCCTGTGCCCTCTTTCTTAGGGTGCATCTAGACTGTAGAAATAATGCAGTTGGACACCACTTTACGTGCTGTAGCTCCAGCCTATGGAATGCTGGGATTTGTAGTTTTACAAGGTCTTTAGCTTTCCCTGCCAAAGAGGGCTGGTGTCTCACAAAACTACAAATCCCAAGATTCTGTAGGATGGCACCCTGGTACCAAATTGCATTATTTCTACAGTGTAGATCAGGGGTAGGCAACCTCTCCCCTTTAAGGGCCGAGGGACTTCAGCTCCCAGAATCCCAGGAGCTATTGGCCAATATGGGACTATTGGCTAATATGGCTGAGGCTTCTGGGAGCTAACGTCCCTCGGCCCTTAAAGGGGAAAGGTTGCCTACCCTTGGTGTAGATGAACACTTAGGAGTAAAGCCTGTAAACTCAGGGTTTTTTTCTGAGTAATATGCATGGATTTAACTCTTTCCCTCTGTTCTTTCCATACTGTTTCCCCAATCTCTATCACTTCTGCGATATTCCCCCATAAAGCAGATATTAGCAGGAATTCAAGTATCCAATCACTTTCCTGTTTGTTTCTCTCTCTCTCTCTCTCTCTCTCTCACACACACACACACACACATACACACACACACACAGCAGTTTGGAAAGAAGTAAAAAGGAATGTTCTGTCCTTAAATCCAAACTGAACTCCTTCTGGACCTGTTTTTAGTAGATTCAGAAACAAAGTTCCAGTGAAATATGTCATTTGACTCCAGTGGCCAAAGTAAAGTGATGTGTAAATAATATCTTGACTGTTTTCTGAAAATTGTATAGCAGCTT